CTGTCCTAAACGGCTTGTTGGAGCTCCTGACCCCCCTCCCTATGATCCCACTGTGCTCTGATTGGTCAGCTCGCCCACTCTGTTCTGATGAGTCCACCACCGTTACAGCGGAACATCAGTGATTATGTGTTACAATGGCGTTTGTTAGCAACCAGAAAATGACACCAGTATTGACAAAGAGATGAGAATGCTGCGTGGGGTCTGGGTGCCGTGTTGACAGGACGTTGCGCGGCTCGCTGCTGTGAGAAGCGGACAGTCTGAGCTCTATTACTGTGTCGTTTCCTGGTTGCTGCGTGGGGTCTGCGAGACAGCGAGACACAGCGAAACCCAGCCCGAATCCAGCCCGAATCCAGCCCGAGCACACACACACACACCCGCAGCCTGGCTGTGAGTCTGTGTGTGTGCTCAGGCCGAGCATCCCGCCGTCTCAGGCTGAGTTCAGGCTGAGTTCAGGCTGAGAAATCCGCGGAGCTGCAGCTGAGAAAAGATTGAGTGTGTGTGTGTGTGAGGAAGTCTGCGGATTGGTCCATTTGGACCAATCCACGGAGCCGTTACGTCACTATAGCCAATACGTCACTATACCCAAGAAGAAAAAAATGGAAAAAGAGAAATCTCCAACGAGGCGTTCTGGGGCAGCATAGACAGGTATTTTCTGTGTTAGAGTTTTACTCGCTACAGGGTGTACTTTGAGGGTTTGTGACTGCAGACCGTTTACATGCTTAAAAAGCTACATACCACACAAGGGGCCGGGTAATAACTAGAAAATCATGTCATGGGACCTTTAACATTTGAAAGAAAACAGGTTCATTGCCGTATAAGAATTTCTACATAATAGGCAGATTTGTTTTAATTTGTCCTCTATACATGAATCAATACAGATCATTCTCCAACACCGTGTTGTGCAGTTAATTATGGAAGCAAAGAAAGGTCTCAAGAATTTGAATTTAATAACCTAAGGTGTTTAATGCCTGCCACTGAATTCCTAATGTTAAAAATTCAAGTGAATGTATTTCAATGTAGTTTGAAGCCACCTCTTTTACATTTGCACCATAGTTTCTCCACACTGGTTGAGCTCCACTACACTCCTCCCTATAGACAAAGTGCAGTAACAACGTTCCGTATGCTGCTGCCCGGTGGATATGGTATAAGTATCTCAGTGTAAATATTCAGGAGCATCTCTTTTAAAGTGAAACAGCAGCCAGTTTGAAATCACTGTGACCGTTTCTGAGAATCAGTCACATGATTTCTCTTGGCTCTGCTTTCCCTTTTGTATCCGAGCTCAAAGCTGTTTGAAATCACTACCACTGCCAACACTCTGCTGACAACACACAGCCAGACTTACAGTCGCTTACATCTCTTACCCCGTTAATATGCCACACCTCGACACAAGTCAGCCTGGCTGTTTAAAATGTTGTGTGTTACATGGCTTGGTAGATTTCATTACCATTAATAATGGAAGAGCCGGTGAACTTGGCACAGGCGCTATAAATAAATAAGACCTGCTCCCGACAGACTCCTTTACACTGGTTTGATAGAAGTGTGTGTGGAGAGAGATGGGCCCTGACGGTGATGAGGGGATTATTCTCATACACACTCCCTGGCTAATGAGAGGGGAATAACAACATGGCGGTGTTTAATTGGTGCTGTTCTGTAATCAGAATGGACGGCTTCATTCAGATGTGATTAGAACCCTGGGTGAGATGAGCACGCTGGCTCTCAGAGTGACCTGCTTTTATTGGATTGTTCTTCAGTGAGTGTCTGATGATAAGATGTTCTCCTCTCGACACCCTGATGCACTTTCATGCTGCACTCATTCATAAACCCAGACTAGCACAGGACCAAATCCTTCAGTGGAGGAGTAGCCCGACACTTTAAAGCACCAATTGCAATTAGAGGACAAGATGGAAGTGTTCTTCTAGCCTATTATTGAACTTGTGCTTTTGATATTTATACCTGTTTACTTGTGCCCGGGGAGCTGGCTTATTGTGATGGATTGGAGCTGTTTTAATTGGTAGTGTCTGAGAACAGAAGCTAATTGAAATTTAAAATTGTATTCGCTGGAACGACATATCCGTGACTGGGACTTCTCAGCGGTGCACATTCTGTCTCTTCATGCCTCACTGGCGGCGACAGACGAGTGTTCAGACATTATGTTTCTGGGCTGTCCCTCGTGTTGCATTCTCATCAACACGTTCTCAGAAACGCCTTGAGGGAATTTCTTCTCATTTAGAACAAATGTTTTCTTGGCCTCAAGTGTGAACTGACTACAATTTGGTGATCAAAGATAAAGGTCACTGTGCCGTCACAAACGATTTTGGCCATAACTTAAGAATGAATACACTCTTTATGATACATTTACACAAATGTTCAAAAGTAAACAATTGGGGACAGCCATGGATGTAACATCTTCACTGGTTGGCCAAAGCATAGACTGTGAGGCGATAGTTCTTGTTCTATTGAGCATGTTTGTTCAGAAACAAACAAATGCCCGAGTAGGTTTCCAGAGGGCTGCAGTAGAGCGAGTTGCTGGAGGCATTTGGAGCAAAGCCTCGACGGTGTCTGCTGCTTTTATTTCCCTGTAATTCTCCACAGAGTGTTAGGGAAACAGAGAGGCGGCGATTATAAAGCCCCCTCTCCCCCCCCCCCACCCTCATTGTAGAGATGACAATGAGGAGAATAAAGCTTTGCTGGGCTGTCGTGCAGGTCAACACCACTCACAAAGTGTGTGCCTCAAAACAACACCAGTAAGCAAAGTGTTCCCAATCAATTTAAACAGTAATTCATCTTGCTGTGGAATTTAATGTCAAAGATTTGTGGGTTCATTTACAAAGCCGAATAAATTGCCTAAGGAATTAACATTAATGGGAGCAAAGAGACTGCACTCTTCCAACTTCTTTTGCTTCTAACAGATGAGGCTGAAATAGCGATGGAGCTGCAGTTTTCTATCTGCAGGCATGTATTTTCTCTAAAACAGCACAACGTGTGGACTTAACTGTGCTTAATGTTGTCAGAAATCGAACCCAGAAAGAACAGTAGGTGTCAGGGCAGCTGAACTGATCTCAGTCTGCAGGGAGGAGAGGTGACCAGGCTGTGCTTCAAGGCCGGTCTATCTCTCTTCAGGTGCCGCACAAACCCATCGTCTTCTCTCCGTCGCCATCTCTTGTTGCCATGGAGAGCGATACTCATCTTCGACATCAAGCCTGCTTGTGTTTGTCCATGTGTGAGTCCATTTTGACTGAGCAAACTGGATTTCAGGCCTTAATCAGGCATTGTTCTAAAAAGCCTTTCCTCAGGAGCAATTAAACAAACCACAGCATGTGTGTTGAGGGTTTGAAGAAAGAAAGCCAATCAAATACATTGTTTTTTGAGTCTAGGAACATCCCTCCCAGGGTGTGAGCTGCCACTTTTATGAATTGTTGGTGTTTGTGCATCAGTCATTGCGCTGACAGGTCTGAGTGTACGGCTCTGCAGCACTGTCACAGGAACTATTAGAAGATAGAAAGAAAAGTCCGATTTATTTCACAGCTCTCAACTCCACCAGAGCAGAACATTAGCATTTCTTAAATTAATAATTCATTTCACAGAAACAGCAGAAAATGGCAGCAACCATGACACAATTAGCTGTGATATTACTCCGGGTCTCAGTGTAGGATTTTCATTCATAACATTAGAACAAGCCGTGTTTAAGGATAGAGGATGCTTGTATATTTTGTTACAAATTGCATGTCAGGGAATTCATGTTGTATTTGGATGATCTGCTTTCATTGGACTGGTCTTTGAGCAATTATTCCTTTTTACACAATCTACATGTATTTTTCTAAATCAAATTAGCTATGGCTATCATTAAAGGCTTGACAGCTTTTTACACTGAGCCAGATGTCAGCTTAATGTTTCTGATGAAGACGTCACACCCTGAGAGAGATGGGTATTCTGTTGGTTTTTGACTGCCAGTTTTATGCCTGAACGTGCCTGGTCTGTCTGAGACGAGCAGCCAAGCTCAGTGAACAGATGAGAGAGAAACGCCTCCGTGGTAATGGCATCCAGTGGAAAGAAAGGAGAAATGTCTGAAACGATCAGTAGAGGACCAAAAGTGCTTTAACTGCAGTTCACTGAGCCTCACAGACAAACAACTACAAAGAGATCATTCCCCATGAAACCTTTTCTTCTCTTTGATAAAAGGCTTCTCTCTTTTTTTTCTTTTTATTGTTTCACATTTTCACCATTAATGTGATAATTTTGTTTTTCCCTGTTGTTCAATGCCAACAATAGATAGAACAGGTATCTGACAAAGTGAAGTATATAGTATTATATTTAATCTATGATACAATTGTGCAAAAATATATTCTATAATAGGATTCAGGTAAACAAAGTCCTTCAGATTATTTCAAAGAAGTTCCAAACCTTATAAAGTACCGCTGCAAAGTGCACTTTATTGTACTTGTGATGGATCCTAGGTACTTTTAAGAAGACATCAAAAATAACTCAAAAAAATCTATCAAAAGGAGTCCATAATATGAAATGTATATTACATGAGTTGCAGTCATTGGGCAAAACTATGGAAACACTGATCTTGTCTTTTAAAGTTGTATATTTTAGTATTGCACAAACTTAGTTTTGTTTTCATTTTGTAATATTAGTGATATTGTGTGTCGTGGTGTGACCTCTGGTGTTTATGAGTTTGATACCAATCCGGTTTCAAACACTCTTATTTTGTCATTTTCCTGTGAGGACTGCAGTGATACTAAGAGCAAGATGCAATACAGAATTCTATATAACCCGGTTTGCTAAATGACAGAAACATGATGTACTGCTGTTCATAAATAGTCTGTGAAAAATGAAGTACACGAGGTACAAATATGAAAGTCACAAACTCCCTGTGGAAATCCTCTGAGGGAAAATGGATGATTTTAATGCAGAGCAGTCATATACAATGTAAAGGTTTCTTTTACATCTGCCCTTCAGCACTCTGAGATGTGTGTTTCGTTTGCCCCCCCCTGTAGGAGACATGCCTCCTTACCGGTCGAAGTCCACGAAAACCCCGGGAGGTCGGTGTCTACAGGCTGCAGAAGAGTCGCCCCCTGCCGTAAATGGAAGTCTGCTTCCTTTGGGTACAGTAAGATGTTATTTTTTTTAATGAATACATGGGTAATGTTTGTTGTTTCCAGCACCATGGCAGAGCAGTATTTCTCCTGTCTTACTCTCTCCCTGTTAATGTCTGAAAGTCATCACAGTTCATATCGATGCCCCGGTAATTAGCCTTTCTGTGGCAGATAAATCGGTCCTGACAGCTTGAAAACGTCGCTGTGCCCTAATGTTTGAGTCTTTGCAGCTGTTCTCCAGTCATCAGCTTCCTGTGACACAGCAGTTTCAGTGCTGCTGGTCCTGATGTGCACAATGAACCCTAGTCACCAAATGCACTGTAGGAGGAGATCATTATGTTAGGGCTTAATGAACGGTGATGCCTGAGTACATGAGCTTTCATCGCTGCTCAGCCATTAGCCTGTGCGGAGACTTCTACAAAATCAAGAGATGAATGCTGCATCAGTAGGACAGACTGAGGGGGCTTCAAAAAAAACACGGAGAGTTTCAAAAACGCCTCCTAGTGCTGCGTTTCATCATCAAAAAGCAATGTGAGCCTAATCCATAGCCCACTTTTGGTTCATGTTCAGCCCAAAAATAAATCCCAGTGCATGGTGGGACAGTGCTCTATTTTCAAAGAGCCGTGTTCAGATGTTTTTTGATGAGTAGGAACATCTGTGGGTTGTTTTTAGACTTTGGTAATGCAGCAGAAAGGAGGAACTATTTCTCGCTGATTAACACCTCACACATTTTCTCTGATTGTCCCCGTGTGATTGTTGCTCTGTAAGTAATCTTCAAGCACAGCTGAAGGCTAATGGGTTTAATGGATCATGACCGTAAACAAGATGAAGGCTGTGATCGGAGGTTGATTGTTTTCCTCTCCAGCTCAGCAGCATTGTTTGCTTGTGTTCAGGCTCACACAGGCAATTTTGAAATGATGACAGCCTGTAATTTTAACTTTGCTGAGTTATATCAGGTGATTGCTTTAATGTTTCCCCAGATATGAGAGATGGATTCTATTGTGTATTGTTTTTTAATCTGTCTTAGACAATGTAGTCCTTCTCATTTGTGTCAATGAATGTGAGTGGGCGGCTCAAACTCTGAATGTGTGCCCGAGACACATTTTTCAAGCCTCACAATCACACATACTCACACGAAATGTCAAATGACAGGAGAGACTACTGTATGAATGCTGTATAAATCAAAAATGAAAACAACATTTATCACAAAGGCCTTGCTCTGTCATGGTTGACTTGTTGTTATGAATGATTTCCTTCAGACAGGAACATCACGTTACATGAAGTGACAAAGGTCCTGGGCCAGATCTGAATCCAGGATGTTGCAGTTGTGTCCGTAGAGCAGTGAGTCACATGTTATCTGAAAAGGAATGTGAACAAAATAGCTGGGTAATCACTCTCCATTGCAGCAGTGCGTCTGTGTGAGGCTCTCAGTGAGTGATTTATCTTTGTCGTATATTCTGACTGTGTTTGTGGGGCATTAGAGGAAAGAGAGGAAGTGAAATATTAATTATATATCCATGTGTGAGCTGCTGTGCTGAGCTCTCCGCTGAATCAATTCCACTTGTTTTAGATGTTTTGAGTGATCATATTGGAAAAGTTTAAAGAAAAGTTTAATTATAGGAAGTGTTTGTAGTGGTAGCGTTATGGAGCAGAAACATAACGTTCCTAATGCCAGAGCTGGATCTCTGGGGGCCACCGATCAACTCGGAGCGGCTTCTAGACCGTAATAGCAGAAAAATACCCCAGGGATCTTTTTTGAATTGTTGCTCCTGCTATGTGTTTTTCTTTCTCTCTTCACATATGTACATTTTCTTTCATGCAGTCTTCCTCTTTTCTCTGATCTGACGACAAAGCAATCCCATGCATTTCATCAGATGTAGAGATGCACAGGCAATGTAACAGCTTAGATGGGATGGCTTATTGCCAAAGCCTGAGTGTGCATATTTGAGTCAATATAGTTAACTAATGATGTAGTCCTTGGAGCGCTTGTTGTGGTGATTCTGCCACTTACCCTGCTAAGATGATCAGCAGGAGCAGCGTAGAAAATAAATGACAACCAAAAGCCCACAAACTGTTCAAATTGATTGTTTTCACTTTAATACCACCCGAGTGTAACACTCATCTAAATGCTCGGAGCAAAACAGGAAACTTCTCACACGGTTTTGTGTTTGCAGGGTTTGTTTTGTGAAATATATAAAAGACATATGGTAGATTTTGTGATATGTTCCTGTTGAAAACCCCTCTGAAAGATGTACTGCACTTGCAGAAAAGAGATACTCAAATTTTAAAAGGAGATTTTTTAGCAGGCTTTTTATCAAACGCAAACTTCATTAAAGCAGCTTTTAGTGATTGCATAATATGTATGAGCTTAATTTAGGGCTGCAACTAAATAGGATGTTTCAATACAGTTAATATGTTCATATATATAAATGTATTGTTTTATCTACGCAAGACAAATAATGGAAAATGTCCATCACGTTGTGAGCCCAAAACCAAAAGATATTTAATTGTTTTAATTCACAGAGAAGCATCACACCTTTTTATATTCCTGAGACTGAAATCAGGGATCTTTTTACTTCCTGCTTTATAAAACAACGTTAACAAAAAACAAAGTTGCTGATTTAATTAAATAGAATATTCTGTCCATCCTCTAATTTATTTACAGACTATTTGTTCTAGCTCTTTTAATTTACCAAATTGCATTCCTGGTCGGGATGATAATTAAAAACTGGGAAAGGAAATTCATTTAGCGGTGGGATTCAAGAACCTGGACAGCAAGATGTGACCTCAAAGATTTCCGACATGTGCGCGCATCACCAAGTTAGATTACTGGGTGAATATCTGAACCAGAGGTGGTAGATTACCGGACCTCTCCCAGAATAACCCCCAGTCGCCCTCCTCAAGGTGTTTCATGTCTTCCAGTCTTGACTTTCCCGTACTGCTCAATGTCAGCAGCTGGTCATAAAGCCTGGGGAGAAATTATAGCAAATTTAAATGTAAAGCATAAAAGAGCTAAATGTGAAGTGTTTTAAAGTAAAATAAAAAAGGTGAATTACTTTAAGATATTAACTATAAAGTAGATTCTTTCAAGTTTCCATTAGCTGTAAAAATAGCTTGAATGCCATTATAAGTAAAAGAGGTGAAAATGGCCTTTTGATCTTTAACGCTTTATTAAACTTAATTTGAATATAGAAACTGAAGTAGAGGAGAAAGTACAGCAGGGATAAATGCTGATAAATAGTTAAAGGTCATGCTTTTCTGGTTATTACCCGTCCCCTTGTGTGTTATGTAGCTTTTTCTGCATGTAAACGGTCTGCAGAGTCAAAAACCCTCAAAGTACACCCTGTAGCGAGTAAAACTCAAACACAGAGAAGACCTGTCTATGCTGCCCCAGAACGCCTCGTTGGAGATTTCTCTTTTTCCATAAGTTTCTTCCGGGAACCAAGTGACGTAACGACGACCCAATGGACCATTTGGTCCAAATCGACCAATCCGCGGAGCCATTACGTTACGTCCGCAGAGCCGTTACGTTAAGTATTTGGACCAATCTGCGGACTTCCTCACACACACACACACTCAATCTTTTCTCAGGCAGCTGCAGCTCAGCGGATTTCTCAGCCTGAGACGGCGGGATGCGGCGAGGCTGTGAGTCTGTGTGTGAGCATACACAGACTCACAGCCAGGCTGTGTGTGTGTGTCTGTGCTCGGGCTGGTTTCGGGCTGGGTTTCGCTGTGTCTCGCTGACCCCACGCAGCAACCAGGAAACCACACCAGTAAGCCAGCTCACACTGTCCGCTCCTCGCAGCAGCAAGCCTCGCAACGTCCCGCCAACAAGGCACCCAGACCCCACGCAGCATTCTCATCTGTTTGTCATTACTGGTGACATTTTCTGGTTGCTAACAAATGCCATTGTAACACATAATCACTGATGTTCCGCTGTAACGGTGGTGGACTCATCAGAACAGAGTGGGCGAGCTGACCAATCAGAGCACACTGGGCTCACAGGGAGGGGGGACGGCAGGAACTCCGACAAGCCGTTTAGGACAGAGAGTGAATACACATACTATACAGAGATGCTGTATGAGAAACCAATGTGAGTTTGGAAAATTGCACAATATAAATCTATTCTAGTAGACTTCAACAATGGAAATATGATCAGCAGAAATGGCCATGACATGGGACCTTTAAACATCAAAGTCAACAAAAGCATTTAAATGTGCTTATACTGTAAAGTTTCAAATACATATCTGACGAGACAAAGACCTACGTTTTGTGATTTGTCAGTAAAGAATTTCTCTCCAATATTTCAGCCAATACTCACTTATCGCAAATATATTAATATCAATGTAGTTGTCAGCCAATCTGTAAATTCCTTTATAGGAATGCCAAATTGTCTTCAGGTGATTAGGAAACAATGTCACCATAAATTGCTTTAATCACTAGACACATTCATTTTTTTCAACTGATAAATGTCACGTTTATTAAGCGCCTTGGTCACAATTCCTGATGGATTAGTAACATGATTAGTATTTGGGTTTTAAATGATTTTCATCATTTATCAATCTAAATATCGATATAAGTATAAGTTCCAAAACGTCAGTATTACTGGCGCTGTATAGTCGATACATTTGTTCAGTTTCAATATAATATACAATAAAAAACTACAAGCACAAAAATGGTCAGGATGATAAAAAGTTTTCGAGGCCCTGGATGAGTTTGCTGTAAGTTGGAGAGCACCCCTCTTCTTGTGAGGCTGCTTTTGCTCCTTACTGAACATAATGTCAACATTACGATTGATTATGAAGTCTGCAAAGTTTCTTTTGTGCTCCAGCCTTTTAGTATTTCCGCCGTGTCCTCATCTGTAATGATCCCTCCCACTTATATCTTCTTCCATACTGCTGCAGAGCGGTCCATTATGAAAGAAAACCCCATTGTGAAAAAGATTCCCTTTTGTAGAGACTGTGATGTGCCCTCCTGCTCGTATTATCTTCCCATGACTGTTGTGTGGA